GCGACAGTTATTGATACATGGGTTTGAATATTTGGTCCATCTACTGTAGTAACCAGGGCATCGCTACTAGCAACAAGGAAGGGCATTACTACTAGTAGTAGCAAAGAGCTACTAGTAACAAGGGCATTGCTACTAGTAACAAGAAGCTACTAGGTGGAGGCCATCGCTATTAGGTTGGAGGCCATTTCTACTAGTAGCAAGAAGCTCCTTGAAGAAGCTCCTTGTGTCCTCCGTCGCCTTCGTGGCCCCGCGCCCCTTCAACCCCGCGCCAGGCCCACTGAGGCGGGGCAGCCGGAGCGGTCGCCGCACCAAGGTGTGGTACTATGGTAGTAGTGAGTTTCTTGGTAGTAAGCTTCTTGTACTTGGTAGTACCACAGTAATGTTACTCATGTTACTATGGTACAGTAAGCTCCTTGCTACGTTCGTAGCGATGTCCTTGCTCCGTTCGTAGCTTGAACATTTTGTGGTAGCAACCTGGTACGTAAGGGGAGCTTGCTAGTTGCTTTCGCTTAGCAACCGAGCAACCGAACCAGTTTTTGAGTGAAATGGAACACTGGGTGGCAAGAAGGTGGTCAAGAATAGAAGACCATGGTCGTCGTGAAGACCATGGGGTCTTCGATACATGGACGTATGTTGCAGCGAACGGGATGCCTCTATTCGATAATTGAATGTCTTCGTCTGTCCGACGCTGAGACGCTATGTTTCAGCAACTGTTTCGGACTTCTGAAGGCCCATTCAGTCACTGCCGATCTGATGAAGTGGAAGATCCCACCCAGGAACCCCATGATTTGATCAGTTGAGGTGATGTTCAAGATCTTTTAAGGGTCAATGTAGGTGAATCTTCCTGTCCCATGGATGGTCTTAAGACTTTAAATCCACCGGAATTGCGATGGCCTCCACCGGAATTGCGCTGGCCTCCACGCTGAGACGCCAGACTTTCGGACTTCTGAAGACCCATGGATCTCACCCACCGAAGCCCATGATTTGCCGATCAGTTTGAGGTGATGTTCAAGATCTTTTCAGGGTCAAATGTAGGTGAATCTTCCAGTTCCATGGGATGGTCTTAAGACTTGAAAGGAACCTACTAGCGATGGCCTCCACCGCAAGGCCTCCACCCTACTAGCGATGGCCTCCAAGTTGAAGTTGTCCAAAGCATCGACTGACCTCTTTGGCCCTCGCCTCTCGTCTCGCCAACCGTGCGACCGCACGACCGCGAAGGCCAGCGCGGCCGGCGGCTTCCTCCGAGGCGCCGAAGAGAGACCGCGAGAGAGACCGGGCGGCGTTGCGGATCTAACCCAGACACGATCTGTTTGGGACTGGCATATGCTCCATACATTGACCCCTGTTCAACCACCCCAACTGATCGGTAACTATGCCAGTCCCATGGAGTGTTTGGGTCATACAAGCCCATTGATCAAACCATAACGGTAACATTCGCAATGTGACGGCCTGTATGAATTCATTTTTGCATCCACATGTATGTGAGTTGTCCAATTCACACCAGCACTTGAAACACCGCGCATTTTGAGCGATGGGTTCAAACAGAGAAGGATGTCATTTGGAGGATTTGGAGGGGTACCAGTAGAAGGATGTCAATCAAATGTTCAAATGACATCCATCCGTGGAGGTTCAAGAGAGAAAGACATCTGGTCGACCTGCAGATGTTGTGACAGACATCTGGTCGACGGTTTGGATCACCTGGTCTCTCCGTTCGGACTCCACGGCAGGTCTCTCGCGGCAAGAGTACATGCAACAGCCTCTTGGTGCGGAAAACTGTGCCGCACTGGGCAGTACGGTTGATGGGACAGCTCATGGAATTGGCAGCTACTCTTTATAGCTAGACAAGCGTGTAAAGAGAGAGAGAGAGAGAAATCGATCGATCGATCGATCCTTTCACATCTTCCACCTTAGCAGGCTTGGTTCTGCTATGTTTTTTTCTGGGACGAACGCAGGTGGGCGCCAAAGCAGGCGTCTTCCCGACAGATCGGATCCCGCCGGTGACCGAGGCGGATCCATCGCAGGCTTCATCCACAAGCAGCCTACTTGAGCAGGGCACCCCGGGGTGGTGGGAAAGGTTTGGTCTGGAGCAAGTTGCAGGTCTGTGTGGGTGTGTATTGTCCCCAGTGTCTGTGTGCGTGTGTGTGATCCAACTGGGGAGACCGACCCCCCTAGTAGGGAGAGAGAGAATCGCTGGGAGGGAGAAGGAGGAGAAGGGAAATAGACCCGTTCACTGTCCACCCCCTATGAAGATACACACCCAGTTTGAATTTTCATGTCTTGACGTCCCTAGAGTTTTTGCACCGCAGGGTACCCTTGAAGCTCGAGTGAAAACAAGTTTGGCATCGGAGCCTTCGGGTTACGATCCAGGCGCCTTCGCCGCCATAGGCTGTCCGCTTTCTTTGGAAAGCGCCTGACTTGGACCTCAGGCTTTCTCGACCACGATTTCATCCTGGTCCCTCCTCCTGCTGGCTACGCTCTCGGCTTCAGTCGAGGTAAGTCGTGGCACTACCTGTGGTCCTGAGCAGGCCACCAGCTGTTTCACTGAATTCGACAGCTACCAGGTGGACTTGTTGGAGCACCCTTTGATCACCTTCCACCACACGATTCGGGACTTTGAGAACCCGCGCTCCTACCACCTGGCAGCGACCTTGGACGTCAAGAGTGCAAAGGTGACTGACGTCGCCTTCCTTTGGGCCCTTTGCTCGACCTACATCGCGATGGCCAATGCGACGATGTCCACGTCCGTCGGAGGCATCCCTTTGACAGAGTTCCGGAAAGACACGCCACCTGGTTGGGCTCCCAACCTTCCGGACTACCCATTGTCCAGCTATCTACAGAAGCTGAAATTGTGGTACCGGATCTATGACGGCCCGGACGAATCTGTTGGACCATTGGTTGCAGGCCGACTTCAAGGCCAAGCGGCCAAATTGGCCTTGAACTTGAGGCTGATTCGACCAGACGGCAACTACGATGTTGGAGACGAAGCTCTTGTTCGGTTGTCAGTGGACCAGGTCCTCGACCCCATGGACCCTACAGGACAGACAATTCTCCAACATGCAATACCTTCTGGCGTGCAAGCCCTGGCCTTCCAGTTGCGAGAAGCATTCGGCCTAAGTGAACAGGAACTCACAACCTCTGCCCTCAGCGCCTTCTTCGAGTTCCGCCGAGGCAAGTTGAGCCTCCAGGAGTACGCCTCAGAATGGGAGCTTCTCTATGAGGAAGCTCAGACCAAAGCTGGCCTTGAAGTGAACCAGGTTGCCAAGACCTACCTCTTCTTCAGAGGATCTGGATTGCCCAACAAGTTCATTGAAGATGTGAAACTCCAGATCCATGGTGACCTTTCCAGGTTTCAAGAGGCCAAGAGACTTGCTTTGCGTCTGAGCCAACGAGGTGAAGGCACACAGCTCTCCAACGACCTCTATATGGAGAACTCCAGCCAGGACTATGACTTCGACAAGCCGAACACCTTCTATGGAGAAGAGTGGCATGACTCCTGGCAAGCAGATGACCGGTCTACCTGGTATGCTGATGATTGGCACACCGATGACTGGTGGAACTACTATGATGACGCTGAGTATGAGGAGTACCAGATGGACCATGAATCTTGGACACCTACAGGTCGTACTCCATCTTCAGAATGGCACACTCCACCAGAAGAGCACTACATCGGTGATCTGGATGATCAACCACCAGCATCCTCGACAGACCAGCCCACTGAGGACTCCTACTACGGCAAGGGGAACTACGGAGGATGCCATGTGTGCGGATCCAAGTGGCACATGGCCGCTCAGTGTCCTGTGAAGACGGGCAGCACGCCCTATGGTGAGAGAAAAGGCAAAGGCAAGTCAAAGAGCAAGAAAGGTCCATGGAGACCTAAAGGAAAAGGCAAAGGCAAGGGCTATGGTAAAGGCAAGAAAGGCAAGAGCTTCCGTGACGGCAAGGGCAAGTACTATGAGGACCATGTCTACTACAGGCAACAGCCCGGCAAGGGTCTTCAGTTCGACTTCTCTTCGCCTACACGGACTACCACCACAGAGCAGTTGAAAGTGACTCCTCCTGACCACAAGGAGATCTTGCCCTGGCGTCGACCTCAGTCCGCAGAAGAGACAGGTTCTGAACAGCAGTCCAGCGACGCCACTCAAGAAGTGCCTCCTTTGCCCTCGTATTCTGCTTCTGCCAAGACATTGTCCTTTGCCACCTACGTCAACAACACCACCATGCAGGAGAACCATGCATGCTATCATGCCGTACGAGGCAAGACCAGACGAGGGTTGTTGATCGACCCCGGTGCGGCAGCTGGCCTGATCGGCTCAGAGACGCTCAGAGATCTCCTGACCTCGTGCTATCCTGAACTTCGAGATGATCAACTTCAGTGGATGGACTCAACAGCGACCATCACTGGCATCAGCGGCTGTCCCGACAAGGCTCTCGGTCGGATTGAGTTGAAGCTTCCCTTCAAAGGCATGGACGCTGTCTACACCGCCGATGTGATTGGCAATGAGGGATCTTTGTGTCCTGCTTTGGTTGGAAATCCAGCTTTGTGTGCAATGAAGGCATCACTACATTCCTGCTGGTTTGAGAATCAAGATGGACTGTTGGTGACCTGGGATTCACGCTGCAAGGACAAGCCCAAGATGTACATGTTTCGAGTTCTGCTGACAGATTCTGGTCACTACCTCCTTCCGTTGGATGAGGACACCAGCATCCCAGATGGCGACACCAGTCAGCAGACATGCCATTTCCTTCGGCATCTGTCAGAAGAATCCCATCGACATTGGCCTGACCATGCATACACTTTCTGGCAACAGGCTACAGGCACCACCATCCCAGAGCAGCAGCGGAGTACCCGCGAGAGTGTGGCTGACTACGTTTCCACCCTCGTGGCAACCTCAACCAAAGCAGACAAGGACCAAGACAGATCGACCTCATGCTCCACAACCGCCGAAGCAGACAAGAACTACAGCAGACCGACCTCATGCTCCACAACCGCTGAAGCAGACAAGAACTACAGCAGACCGACCTCATGCTCCACGACCGTTGAAGCAAGCAAGGACCACGACAGGCATACCTCATGTTCTTCAACCGTTGATGCATCCAAGAACCACTCCACAACGACTTCATGCTCTGCAACACCTGAGGAGACAGAGGCTGAGGAGACATGCAAGAAGCCAAGATCCAAGACAGTGACCTTCCAGAATGATGCATTGCCAGATGAAGTTGATCCTCCACCGGAACCACTGGAAGACAACCTCATGTACCACCTCCAAGATCTTCCGCTATATCAAGGTGATCAACTTCCAGAAGGATTGAATGATGAAGAACGGAAGAAGCTCATCAAGGACTACAAGGCAATGCCAGAAGAGTTCTACACAAGGACGAACAGACGAATGGTCACTCCTTCTTCATTTCCAACCTGGTTTGCAGCAGCAAAGAAGCGAAAGACAAAGTGGCATGTTTGGGAATGGTGCTCTGGCTCAGGTCGATTGAGCCTCACTTGCTGCCTGGCTTCCCTTGTGATTGGCTTCCCGGTTGACTACCGCTACGGCTGGGATTGGGAAATCCATCACACCAGGCCATGCTTCGTGACGCCCTCTACACCTTTGAGCCCGAGATCCTGATTGCCACTCCTAGATGCAAGTTCTGGAGCGTTTCATCTTCACGAAGAAATCGCACTGACCTTCTCAAGGATCGTGAATCTGAACGGCCGACCTTGACCTTCATCCAAGAGTCTTTCGGTTACCAGGTTCAGCAGAAGAAGTCCTACCTGATGGAGCAACCATGGAGTTCATCCATGTGGACTGAAAGCTTGATGGTGCGCAACAAGGACTTTCCACAGTGGCAACGACCTCGGCGCACTGACCAATGTGCATTTGGTGCAGTTGATGAGAAGAGGATTCCGGTTCTGAAAGCCACTGGACTGGAAGCATATGGCTTCAAGCTGAAGATGTCTCTCAGGAGATGCAATGGCCACCAAGGCACTCCACATGCATCTCTTCAAGGTCAGTATATGGGCGTGAACCGCACTGCTATGGCTGCGGTATATCCTGCGCGATTCTGCCAAGCTCTACTCCAAGACTTCTTGAGACACCTTCAACCAAAAGGCCTTCTTCGAGCACGACACCACGATGCTTGGATGACCCAGCACACCTACTACAAGTGTGAACGGTGCAAGTTTGGAAGAGCAGCCACTGCGGACATGGAACACACCTTCATGCCTGGTGAATGCCGCTATGGAAGAATCCCCAAGGAGAAGGAAAAGCCAGTTTCCACACCTTGGAATGATTTCCAACGAGCTGCTCATGGTCACAAAGGGCTGTCCACCGTTCAACTGACCGTGCCAGTCAACTACAAGCTGGCAAATGAAGAGACGGTGCTCATCAAGCATCTACTCTGCATGATTGTGGAGATGAGCATGAACGTGTTTGAAGAAGCCAATGGAACTGAATTCCATCATTGGATTCGAGATCCCATCCTGCTGTCGAACAGCAGATCCTGCTTGAAAAGCTTCCTCTACGTGCTCGGAATCCACGTGGCTCTTCACCCATTCAGCAAAGCATTTCCAGAGCCGGAGCTTTCGGCCGAGGCCGCGCCCCTGAGATTGTGCTTTCGAGGTGAGTACCGAAAGTGGCGACTATATCCCCTCGAGGATCTCCGAGAACTTTCACCGATGCAGCAACGTGAGGAGATCACCGAAGAGAATTGGATGATCAGCTTTTTCGGCGCCGCTGATCCACCTCAGAAGAACAAGGCACCATCCACTCCTGCTCCTGTGACACCAGCTCCAAAGATGTCAGCGCCGATGACTCCAATGCCGGGGACTCCTGCGCCCGGCACGCCTATGCCCTCAGCAAGCGCTACAGCACCAGAACCTCATGATCCCCAAGAACAGGCTGATCCGGCTGGAGGAGAGTCGGAGACGCCACCAGCACCATATGAGGGCATCGATCCACACATGCCTCAGATTCGCACTATGAAGCCTCTCTACAGTCGGAAACGAGTTCTCCAGAAACTGCCAGAGGCCGTGAAGAAAGAACCTGCCACTGCTCG